GACTCTGTAAGCTAAGACTTTTTTGTCTTTATTGGTCTCTCATTTTCTCTCTTCAACCTTTTGTTGAAAGCCGACATTTTGCCTTGAGAACTTTGATCCCTTTAAAAATTTCTAATCGCAAGAATTGTTGGAAATTTATCAAATAAAACTATAGCATGTAAAATAAATCGAAATAAAATAATAAGAAAATCTGACCTGATCGGGGGTAGTCGTGTAAACACTGCCCTAGAATATTGAGGGCCCGCTATTTTCCTAGCGTAGATGATCCTCTCTCCCCTAGCAGTAAAAACCCCCGGAAGCTACCAGCCTCTGTACTCGGGCGAGAGAATAGAGCTTCAGCTCAGACGGAGAACGATTGCCCAAAAATAATATCAACACATGAACAAAAATAATATGCAGAGGAGAGAAGAGGAAGAAGAGAGAATTGTTTCTGTATGTTTCCGAATGTGAATAAGGGGTGTATATATAGGGTTGAGAAAGACATTGTAATTCCTACAATTAATACGGTAACGTTCGTCATAAATTTTCGTAACGTTCCCCATAATGTATAGCCATTACGCACGTTTTAATCGTATTCAAAACACTATTCCATGTGAGACTATTCATAAAGGCAAAATTGCCTTTCCTCAAACAAAATATCCAACACGAACTACTACATAGTCATTTCTCTCCATCTTCCAATTATTGTACATAAAGAACTAGCTATCCCATTGTTCTTAATTTTTTACAGGTTAATTATGTGCACAACATCCCTTGGACGGGAATGATAATGGCAGGCAAATGCTCAACAAGAATAGATCCATTTGATTAAACGCAAGAATTGAGTAGCGTTTTGGTGTTCTTGCTTGTTTTTACTGGTGAATGAGTGGTGATCTATGCTCTCATCATTCATCAAATCTATATGCATGGCTACATTACTATGAGATTTGTGCTTGTATGAGTTCACGTAGTACTGTCCAACTATCCATTGTTGAAAGTGTTGTTTTCCTTAGTGTCGGTCTAGTTTGCTTCCCATGGAGGTGTGTAATTATAATGGGGTTTTTTTTATTATTATGTAAGAGAGCAATGAAAAATTAGAATAATTAGTTATTAAGAGATAATTTGAACTACTATGTGATTATCGAGAAGCTTGCAGTGTCATAATGATATTTTTCTTTAGTTGGATGTTGATTGATAGAGAATAATTCAATTAAGGTGTGATAATCTTGAAGCTTGCAATCCAAATATTAGAACCATTTACTATATTTTTTGCTGATTTATTATAACATCCTAGATTGACTTTCTACCTGGGATATTTAGCGCATCCTAGCTAGCTAGACAAAAATTTTGTTCAGAATGCTCTTCCGTCAAGGATGCTATTCCATCTAGGATGTGCATATTAGATGGAATTTTGTCTAGGATTTAACATCTCAGACAGAAACATCGTAGATAAATTTCCATCTAAAATAGCTATCCTACACGAATTTTAGGGTGGAAATTTCCTTCTAGGATGCTCAGATTTCTAATATGTGTGTGTATTATAAATTAATCACAATTTTTTAAATTTTAATATTTCAATGTTAGTATTCAGAAGAAATTTTATATATTCATTGTTCAATTAAAATTTTGTTGGTATTTTGTTGTATATATTCATTGTTCAATTAAAATTTTGTTGAAATGTGTTGGGGTTGAACACACAACCCGTGACTTTCCGAATCTTGTGCTGGTAGGCAAGCAAGAAATCACAACAAATAAAAGAAAATTTTACAAGAAAGAATAATCAAACCAGATAACACTAGATTTAACGAGGTTCGACAAACGTGCCTACGTCCTCGGGAGCCACACCACACAAACTTGATTAATTGAAGAAGATTACAATGCCCACAAATAGGTTTTATCTCTCTGAGATCTCTCTGAAAGAATCCTCTCAAAACCCTCTTTTTCTATGTTCCTTTTAACCCTAAAATCGTTTAGGTATATATAGCATCCTGGCCCAAAACAGTTTCCCAAACAAATCAGGAAACTGGAAAAACTAATTCAGATTTACTGGGCCATGGGTGTCGAACGACCCACCAGAACACACTTATTTTACAGGGGTTTTGTGCATGTTATCCATTGACCGGATCAAGGCTCTCTCTTGGTTGACCGGCCAGAGCGTTGTTTCCAGCCTCGTTTCCTGCAGTCTCTTCAGTCGACTAGATCTCCTTCGTTGGTCGACCGACCCGAGAATTTTCAGCCTCGCAGAATTGTTTCAGGTTTCGTTCTTCACACGACCAAAACCAACAAAATGTAATTGCAAAAAATTATATGTACATGACTTTACTTACCGAGGTTTAGGGAATATTGATTAGACTATAAATTATGGATCCTCTAAACTTGAATGCATTGTTTATAAAACTCCTCTCAACTTTGCTAGAGACGGTGTCAATTATAGTTTTATTTTGATAAATCAAATATGTGTTAGTTATTTACTTTTGTAGTATAACTATCAGTAAATTTTTCTACTTTAAACAAGGTTAAAGCTACTATTTTTTAATTAAAAAAACAAAGAGATTGACTTCTTTTAACCTTCCCAGTTCGCCAAACACAAAAAAGTAACCGCTCAACTTAACTATCCAATCCAAATGAAATTTAATAATTTTTCACCGTTCATGAAGAATTAATCTAGGAGCTGCTCAGTTTATGGATTAATCTTGATGTATGTAATAAATTTTGAAAATATCATAATTAAAATTGTATTTGTTTGTGATGAATATTAAAGAGGATTTGTATGAGGAATAAAATCTAATCAAATTTTGTTTGGATACACTTGAATGTTGTTGAGGATATGCGACTAAATTCACAAATTCGGCAGAAATCAACATAATTTTAGGAAATTATATTTGATCTATTTATCCTATATGGCAGCACCTAATCCGTGTATAAAAAATAACAAACAAACATCATATTTACTAAAAATTCATGATGTTTAACTTGTGGGTCTCATTTTATTAATGCAAAGATACAAAATGCACGGAAACAAACACACTTCGTTAACCCTTCTCCTTAATCCTCTTTTTTTAACCCCTTGCCAAACAGCATCGATGAAATTTGTAGGATTTTTTTGTATGTGTTCTATATGAAGTACAAGTTAGAATCCAAGCAGACTAGCATATTTAAAAACATACAGTTATTTTTTTGAACTGAAAAAGCAGGAAAAACTTTCCTGCTCATTATATATAAAAAAAACATACAGTTATGTAAATAGTCCAAGCGGACTAGCACATTTTATTCGCTCCAGATTGTTGATTTGGACTCAGACAATTGTTCATGAATCCCACATTCTTGGATTGAGATATAGACTCAAATTTTATGGTTAAATACCTAGAATCTTGGATTGGATTTTAATTTTTTGAGTAATATTCTTAAAGTTTTGGTTTGGATTCTTGAACTTTTGCTTTGGATTCATAAACTGAGGGTCAAATTCTTAAACTAAAACTTTAGATTCATGGATTATTTGAATTAGGCGTTTCAAAATAAATTATTACATTACATAATAATTATTTACAAAAAATAAATATTAATTTGGAAAACCACCATTATTTCGATTAATGAATGGCAACAACAAAAACTGAATACATCTTGTAATTCATTTAAATAATTCAAATAATGCCACACAACAGAATATAACCAGTTTAAGCACATAGATGAAAATAACTAGTGTTCAAGTGCAAAAAGGAAAATAACTAGTGTTCGATAATGTAAAAACTAATTTGCAAGTTTAAATATGTAAATATTAAATATAGCAAAAAAATTATACCAAAGATTTAACATCAAACATTCAAATGATTTACTATTAAATATGTTTATTATCTAATATATTAAAATTTTAAAAATTGCATATATCTATGTACTTAACATATATTTTATTTCTAACAGTTAAATAAAAATGAAATGAATGTAATATAATATAAAATTTTAAAAATATTTACATATCTAAGAAATGTTTAATGATAAACATATCTAACTTAATATTAAAAAAAGTAAATATATTAAGTGATTAAATAGTATTGAATATATTTCTATTTAAAAGAATTAAATAAATTTTTTTTTACATATCTAAGAAATGTTTAATGATAAACATATCTAACTTAATATTAAAAAAATTAAATATATTAAGTGATTAAATAGTATTGAATATATTTCTATTTAAAAGAATTAAATAAAAAAAGTTGATTACACATATTTTAATTCTATGTTAATATATATATAATTTTGGAATATGAAATATTTTATAATTTAATATATATTAAATATTTAAATAAGTAAAGAGAAGAGGAGGGAGAAGACCCATAGAGTGAGATCACAATCCATCAATTTTAACTTGGACAAAAAAATTCTCGTTTTTAACTATAAAGTTACAATAGAGCGTGAATTTTAAGATCCCAATCTTAATAACGATATCATAGAACCAATAACACTTTAAATTCAAATCTAAATCCTAGTCCTAAACAAATAACACATTTTTAAGCTTATTATTAAATTTTTTTAGTGAATATTTGACCCAGGAGGTGGTTGGTTGCCAAAAAATACCACTTTAAAGATGATTTATGTATAAATTTAAATTGAAAGATGGTTTTCTTCTAATTACTGTATTTTAAAGTGATTTTTAGAAGAAAAAAAAATCTATTTTTTTATAAAATGAATAAAGTACTTGAAACTCTAGGAAAAGAATACTGTTACACAAGGGTGACGCACTGACACTTGTGCATGCTCGGTATTCAACATGAGAGCAGGCTTCTCACTACTCAAAAAAGGCACAAACTTTGCCAAAACCAGAAGAATACAAAATCAATAAAAACTCAAAAACTATTTCCTAAAAAAATGAAAGAAAAAGATAATAAAAAATTTGGAAAAAAAAACCTGCAGAAGGAAACATATAAAAATAAGCAACCGCTAACAGAATCCAATCTCAGTTTCCAACCCCAATGAATCCTCACCTCCTCTTCACCTCCCACTCTCCTCCATCTCCTAAATCTTTTCAATTGATGCTTTTTTGCACCAAGGTCGCTCTTTGACGCTGGAATTGCAATCTTCAGCAAGATTCTCCACTTGGGTGTTTCTCGATTCTCCCATAAATTCTTTGTTTTTGGATACTGAATTATATCTACCTGATTACAGTATGAATTCTATTTACTTTGAGCTCCGTAGATGTTGTGAAAGCTTTGATTGCGTATCCGATTAAATTCCTGTATTTGGCAATTAATTTTGTAGGCCATTCTGTGAATTGGGTTTTTGCTTATACTGTCAACATGTGCATCAAGTTTTAAAACAAGAACTCTTCCTTGTTGATTTTTTTTCTTTCCTTTATTCAGTGGAATTTTGCAACTTTTGATTCAGTTGTTTGATTACTTAAACTTTTGTATCAGGGTGCTCTTGCTTCTTGAATTTGTGATTACCATAGAAGCTAGCATTGAGCAAACACCTTCAAGTTATTGAATAAGATAGGGAGAGCTTGAAGCCTGTGCACATATTGAATGAGCACCTATAAGCTGTAGTATATATGGATGATGGAGAACTCGATATTTCAAACCAGCTACTTATGTCGAACTCTGACCTATCTAACAACATCGAAGAATTCCTGAGGAACATCAAGACTTGCGCCCACACCCAGGTCCTGTCCGCGTCTGAAGGAGAGAGAGAGGAGGAGGTGAAGAGGCCTCGGAAGCCATTAGGAAACCGAGAGGCCGTTCGGAGGTATCGGGAGAAGAAGAAGGCCCACACTGCTTACCTTGAAGAGGAGGTGAAAAAACTCAGGCTCGTAAATCAACATCTAACGAGGAAATTGCAAGGGCAAGCAGCATTAGAGGCCGAGGTTGTTAGGCTCAGGAGCCTTCTTGTTGATCTTCGGGCAAAAATTGATGGCGAGTTGGGTGTTTGTCTATGTAAGAAACAATGCAGCGAGATTGGGAAAATTCTCGGGTGGGATATTGATCACCAAACTAGTCCTAACAATGAAGATTCGAGGCATAATTTGGCTGCAGCTGCTTCTCTAGAGGAATAATCTAATTAATGCCTGAAACGGCAACGTTTCGAGTTCCTCGGTATAAATATTTTTTTACTTGCATTAAGTTTTGTTTCCCATCTGTTCGGCGTTCTGTTTGAATGATCATACCATGTTGATGTAGGTATGTGTAGAAAGAAATAGTAGATCTATCATTGCAAATAATGTTCTATAGATGGAGAGAACTTCCTACATATCATGTGTTAGGGAGTTTATCTGTGCATAATAATAAAATCTCATTTTTTAAATGGATGTACATCAGCCTTATGGTAGAGTTCCCATTGAAATGTAGCTGTAGATGCGTCATTTGATCAATACTGAAGACTTACAGCAGTGCTGATAAAATTTTCTGGATTGTACATCTTAAATTTAGTTCCTCTAACCATTACACCAAAACTCCGAAGTTATGATGAGGATTAAAGATTGTAGTTTTATATTAATTCTAACAGTACATAAACAATATGTGTGCATGCATATGTGTATCTACATATGTATATGCATATATGTGTGTGTGGAGGAGCCCCCCCCCCCCCATCCCCTCCACCACA